CCCCAAAACCCCAAAACCCCAAAACCCCAAAACCCCAAAACCCCTTTTTAGGACAACTTAATGGAAATTTGGATAATATTTAATTTAATAAAGATGAACCTGTCAAGTTTAATATTGACGTTTTTGGTTATTGGTACATCATGTGCTATTAGTATGGATATGAAGGTTGCTAATGTGAGGAATACTTCTTATTTTACTAATGGAGATCCCAAGGACTGTGATGTAGCTGTTAGTAATACAATAATTGGGTTCTACTGAGCTGAACAAAAGTACCTATTTTTTCACAAAATTGAAAATTTTTTGGATGGCGATCATTCAACACAAGGTAAGAACTTTCATTGTGAGAAATTCTATTTCAAATAATTTGGCTTACTAAATTACCGGATGGATTGATTTCTCTATTTCAAGGTGCCCTTTTTAAACTCTACTCTAGAAGTATTTGAAATAAACCCAGCTTACTCCCATGCCAATACTCATAAAGGAAGTGGGGACTATATGGTTACTTCAGGCTTTGGACAAAACAATAGTTTTACTTTGACCTCAATTAAAGATGGAAAAATATATGCTCAGCCTTGGAGAGTTTCAGATAGTAGACCTATAAATTTCGCATTTGACGATAAATTGTTTGCAACCATAAATACGTATATCCCAAATGGAAAAACGTATTGGTATGTAGGTCTCCTTCATACAAATCGAATTTATGCTCATTACAGACAGATTGATGCTCCAAAAGGTTTAGCTTTGAGAGTCACTGACTCCTCCTATAATGCAAATCTGTATTTCACTTATTATGTGTCAAGTACTTCAGCACACCAAATCTATAAGAGGAGCATTGATTCAGAATATGATTATAGTGGAAGCCTTGTTTACACTTCAATTGGAGATAATTGAGGGACTACTATTGAAGTCAGTTCAGGAATTGTTGCTATATCTTGCACAAGCTCCACTAGCTCAACTTCTTCATTCATTACTATTCTCAAAGAATCGGATCTCTCCATTATCCACACTCAGACGTCCACTTCTAATAGTTTCTCGATTGCAACAAAGATCCAAATTGCAAGCTTTGATCAATATGTAAGCATCATTCCTCATGTGTAGCACCAAGTTTTTTATAACTCAATGAAGACGGCTTCTGGGACTCATGGCCAGATCAGTTTGCTTGAAGTGTTCTACAGCAAACGAAATCCATCGGAATTCAAGACTCACTTGACCGAGAGTGCAATCTCAGATGATACCTACAACTCATTCGGAAAATATTTTAGTACTATTTCTTCCGGAAGTGTAAACAAGTTTTACATCTCGAGTTATCTAAGCGATACAAGCACAAGCGGAGTGCACGAGATAGAAGTGGCCAACATCTGCAGTCACCAGCAGACCTACTCTAGTAGCACGAAGCAGTGCCAATCTGTGAGTTCTGGATCTGTGTCTATCGGCCTCCAATCAACTTCGTCGATGACTTGCTCAGCAATTGATGATACAGTATCTTATAACCGACTTGTTGGTGAATCTGTTTGCGATTATGGGTGCTCGAGCCTGCGGTTCGGAAAGAATTGAGAGACTTGTTCCTCTTACATGTCGAGGGTTGGAGAGACTGCTCCTTCTGGATACACCTGGGATGATACAACAGCAAATAAATGCAAACTTAAAAGTGGTACTACAGGACTAGAGTATTGTTCAGAATACTCTCAATGCTCTCAATGTGTTTCTTCTGGCAGCTGAGAGTACTCTAATTTTCAATGTAAATCAACATCTCAGTCAATTAGCACCGATCCTGAAAACATCTACACTCAATGTTATGACAACGGAGTGAAGGAGCATTCTATTTCTCATTGCGGACCTTCGGTTATCAACATGAGAAATTATAATTCTTCGTACAACGTAATGCCACAAAATGCTGCGATTCCAAGAGGAGTTCTCTGCAGGTACAAACTCACTCTTGATGAGTCGATCACAGACACATTCACAATAGAAACTGACAGCTCTTCCACGATATCTTTTCAAAAAGTTAAAGATGGTAGTACAACTAATGTGAGCAAAAACACCAGAAGAAATCTTGATGAAAACGGAAGAAATTTGATTACAACCACTAGCACTTTTACTGTCAATGGAGCTGATTCTGTGAACGTTCTCTATCTAACGAATAGTGACTTGAGTAGTCCTTCTTTCTCTATGTCATCAGCAACAAACTACTACGCTGGGAGCTCTACTGCTTCTGAACCAGTGGTTGAATCTAACACTACTCCTTCAGGGACTACAGAGATCAAAAGTGATTCTTCCAACACTGCCAGTATGACTGGTCTGTTCATTGCAGTAGGGCTCATAGGCTTCCTAATCATCTTGATTATAGCATGTGTTTGAGCATGGAAAATCTGTGGCAAGAAGACTCATGTTAGAGTCAACAATAATGATTCTAATCATATTGAAATTAATGGGGACGTAATCAATGTTTTACCCAGAGAAGTCATACAGAAGATAGAGAAGTGAAGAGAAACTAGATATTCGTGCAAGGCTGATACGTATAATCTATCTAATTGTGTGGTGTGCCTTGATGACTTTATGAATGGAGTATTAGTCAGGATTGTCCCAAAATGTAACCATATGTTCCATTCAGATTGCCTTACTGAGGTTCTGAGATCTTCACATAGAAATAAACTGTACAGATGTCCTCTATGTAATACAAAAATTTAGTCAATAATCTTCAATTGTTAAGCCTAAAATAGGGGTTTTGGGGTTTTGGGGTTTTGGGGTTTTGGGG